CAGAGTGCCCAGTATTGTTTTGTTGTAGGACTACAGATAGAAATGTCCTGCCAAGTAGGTTTTCTGTTTTGATGACTCCATTAAATCAATTATGGGTTTAAAGTCGCGGTCTTCCAGCTGGTCTTTCCTGACTTCATCATCACTCCACGGGTCTCGATCAGCCGATGTTGATGTTGTAATTTGTCTTGCGACCGGAGTCAGCAGCTCGTATTTCGCTTCCACCCTGGAACAATATCGGCAGCTTTCTGGGCAAGGTCGTCTAGACAGGGCGTCGGCGTTTCCGTGTGATGATCCCTTACGATGACGGATAGTGATGTCATATTTTTGGAGTCTCTGTATCCACCTGGCTATTTGACCCTCAGGATTCTTGAAATTTAAAAGCCAGGTCAATGGTGCATGATCGGTGCGGAGCAGGAATTTTCTGCCGTATAGATAGTGATGGAACTGTTCTACAGCTTTGACTATGGAGAGCAACTCTTTCCTGGTGACACAATAATTCCTCTCCGGTTTAGACAGGCACTTGCTCCAGTACGCCACTACACGTTCTTGGCCGTCTATTTCTTGGGACAAAACAGCACCAACACTTTCATTGCTCGCATCCGTGTCGAGAATAAATGGTCTGTCGAGCTGAGGATACGTCAGGATTGGAGCAGATGTTAAGCATCCTTTAAGTTGTTAAATGCATCCTCGCATTCTTTTGTCCACAAGAACTTTTGCTTACTCTCTGTCAGCTTGTGAAGCGGTCTTGCGATGGAAGAAAAGTCCTTCACGAATCTCCTATAGTAGGTGCAAAGCCCTAGGAAGCTTCTCAGCTGATGGATATTTTCGGGACGTTTCCAGGATTTAACGGCTGACACCTTTTCAGGATCCGTGCACACACCTTCTGCAGAGTTGACATGTCCCAGGTAAGTCACTTCCTTTCGGAACAATTTGCATTTAGCGGGACTCAGCTTTATATTCGCTTCTTTCAGTTTCTGAAGCACCTTTCTAAGATTTTCTAGATGCTCTTCAAAACTCTTTCCGACGATGATGATATCGTCCATGTATATCAGACAGGCTTCATAGGAAAGACCTTTCAAAACAGTCTTCATGAGGCTTTCGAATGTTGCCGGCGATTTACACAGTCCAAACAGCATCACCTTGAATTGCCAAAACCCTTGTCCCGTAGTAAATGCCGTCTCTTCTCGGTCATGAGGGTGTATTTCTACCTGCCAATACCCACTCTTTAAATCAAGCGTTGAGAACTACTTGCTTCCAGAAAGAGTGTCTAGAATGTCGTCTTAGCAAACGGTAGACGCCTTGGATGTTGCTTGATCGGGGGATGATCGCCGGTGTCTATTCTATGTTGTGTCAAACTAGTTCGACCCACTTCAGAAGACGAGCGGGAGAAAACAACTTGAAGATCTTTAATAACGCGATCGGCAGCATTCTTCTCTTCATCGTTTAATTGCGCATTCTGAAGTAACTCTGATGTAATGCTTTCTGAAGACACGGATTCTTGGATGTTACTCTTTCTTTCAACGATGGTTACTGGAGTACATGTTGCAACCACTTCACCTTTCTTAATAACTCTCGCCTTCTCAGTTACATTGGCGACTCTCACCGGGATAACCGTTCTGGATAGGTCGACGAGTGTTGAGGCTACTAGTACTCCTTTTGGGCTATTACAGTTATCGTGATATTCTATGATGCCGTAGTGGAAATTTCTATTTTCGGCTATGGATCCAGGAAGTAAAAACTCGATTCTTGCGGGAATTGTGATATCATCTTGAGCTATAATTTTATGGATAGATTTCACTCCTTATCATTAATTCCGAATAGGGCTATGTCCTCAGATGTAGAACGCAATTCGTTATTTTTAAAAGTCCAAGGAAAAATTGTATTTCCTTAGAAAGTCCAATCCGAGTATGCAAGAATCAGTGATCTCTGCTACATATGCCGTGTGATGGTAAGCGGTACTTCTTCCAAACGTGATGTTAACGTTTATTTTTCCATCGATGTCGATCTTCTCACCGGACACAGTCTGGAGGGTAACGCAGGGCGGCGTCCAGATAAGTTTGCTTTCCCAGTTGTGTTGAGCCAAATCTTTTCGGATGATGCTAACGTTGGCTCCTGTATCTATCGCCATATGGTCATATTGCAAGAAACTCCATGAATATGTCCTATTATAAAAAGTCCGTTACTGCCGCCTCTCACTGCAGAAATCTGAAACGCTTTAAACTGGGGCTTTTCATTATCTGGCAACCTCCGCCCCGCGAGATGGCCACTAATTAGTTTCCCTGCTGTTTGTTAGGAGCGGTCTTAACATCCGTACCCTGGGGTATTCTGCAGTTTCGTCGTATGTGTCCTTCAGCACTGCAGTTCCAGCACTTAACGGTCAGTTTCTTCTCACCAATATTCCGTCTCAAGGCGTTCAGTTGTCTAGTTAAATCGTCTAGACGAGCGGTGACTTTATCCCCTGGCTCCTGGACTTGAGCAGCTCTGACTGGGTGGCGGTCTCGACGAGTGGCTTGCTGGGCTGCCTCGAATTTCATGGCGTACAAAAGCGCTTTTCAAATCTTTAACATCCGCCATTCGCAGTGCTTTCTGTATTTCAGGGTCCCGGATGCCATCGACGAAATATTGCAGCGACAGGATTTCCCTCGTTTCTCTCGGGCACTCCGTAAAGGAGAGGTGGGACAGCCTTTCAACATCCGTGGCGAGTTCCTGGAGTGATTCGGTGGGCTTCTGTTGACGGGATTTTAATTGCAGCCTGCTGTAGTCTTTTAAACATTTCTCGCCAAAGCGCAGCTCCAATGCGCCGGATAGAGCTTCGAAAGTCTTAAGTCTTTGGTTTTCAGGAAGCGTCTGCAGGATATCCGCTTGCGTCTGCTCTCAGCAGAAGCGGCGAGATGACAGGCCTTAGTTTGGGAATTCCATCCATTCGCATCCGCAACTATAGAAAATTGTGTTTTATACACTTGCCAGGAGGTCTTCCATCATAAGTGGATAACTTCAGAGAGGGACGAGCATGCATGGGTAAAAATTTAAAACCATCACGGATTGTTCCCTGCCGTCGCTACGAATTTCTTTAAAATCATCCAGCTTCTTTGGCTACTGCAGAAACCCTATCATCAATTTGTTGTTCGATTGGTGTTGGACGGCACAAACTCTTCCACTTCTATATGTTCTTTTACAGAAGAAACTCTTTCTTCTATTTCTTCTTTCATCGAAGAACTCTTTCTTCTTCAATTTGATCTTTTACGAAAGAAACTTTTTCTTCAATGTTGTCCAACTTTATTTTCAACTGTGTCAATTCTGCCTTTCATAGCTTCAAATTTATTTTCTATTATGCAGGTAATTTCTCATTTCATTTCTTCTTGACCAGCTTCAACGGCTTTCATTTCGTCCTTAAAGGATTCCTGGCCCAATTTCATTTCCTCCCTAACAGATCTCATCTCTCCTTTAACGGAATCTTCCATCTTTTCCTGACCAGCATCCATCTTTTCTTTCATTTCTTCTTTAAATGCAGCAAAAGCACTGATGAGCTGTCTCAATTGCTCCTCCATCGCTCTTGTTATTGGCATTCAAATCCCACTTCTGACACCAAAAATTGTTGCGTGCGTATGGGTTCGTTATGAAATGAATGCACAAGTCCGATGCAAAATGAACAAAAATTTATTATTATCATAACAAAAATGCTTAAATCTTCTAAAATTATCATGCAGTATTACAATACCTCACAGTAGTTATCTTTTAACTACTCAAATGTCCAATAGAACGTAATTCGAAACAGCTAAAGAAAGCTAATCCGCGAATTCGCTACAATCAACAAGAGCAGTTTTCTAAACAACAACAAACTAAGCAACTACTACAAACTGAGATGTTTTCCTCCTTTTATAAGATTTTAAAATCACGCGCTAGAATTTTCCAGTACTTTCTCGAAATCAAAAAGAGATATTTATTATTTAATTGCACGCGCTCTTTGTATTTTCAATTTTCCGGCTTAGCTTTCTTTTAATATTCGTCACGCGCTGCACTGCGCGAGAAATAAAACCATTTAATTTATAATTGAACTAACATTAGCTTTTTAAATACCAAATTCGTAACACTACATAATAAAAGCATTTTTAAAAAAATGCAAAATTAAATTGTATTTTAATATTTAACAGCCATAAATAATGCTTAAAACATTAAATTAAATTTATAGATATTAAAACGAATTACTTTTAAAGTAAAGTGACGTCATTCATTACATCATCCACAACATAAAATTCCATAAAATATCATAAACAATAAAATTTTTATTTCAAATAAAAATGCAAAATTAAATTGATTTTTAATATTTAGAAGCCATAAATAATATTTAAAACACGTAATTTATGCATAATAAAACGCATTATTTTAAAAATAAAATGACAATAAAGTATCGGTTTCCATAAATAACTTGTCTAGCAATGGGTTTACCATAAGTCGTATCGCTGGCCAAAAAAAAAAAAAAATCGCCAAAATCCGTGCAACCGTCTACCAAAGTAGCACCGAAACCGCTCAGCATTGCTAGTTCAAGCCGGGTTCGAAGTCTGGCTGTCAAGCTGACTGCACGGTTATTTTGTGGTTTTCTCCATGTATACTCGGAGATTCAGTAATGGAAGCCTTTTATCTTCCATTACTGAATCTCCGAGTATCGACTCAACATACTATCTTCACAACCATTACGCTTACGCCTTTCATTGTGATTGTTGTCTCTTCAGGGGTTTGGGAAGAAGAAACTATGTATACAGCCCGAATGTCAGTTCTGTTTATACGGTCTTGTGCTTTTATAATATCATTATGTCCTTTTACTGTTGTAAAAGTTGTTGTTTACTCGTCTTTTACTGGATGTTTGGTAGGATTTGATATGTTTTTATAAGATGTGGGAACGTGCAGATCATTTTCAAATATAAATTTAATGGTAACTGTTTCGCTTTATCCCATTTTGGTTTGCGAGAGGTTTCACACACAACCTCTTTTAACACCACTATTGTTTTTTTCTTTGTAGCTTATTGCCCATCGGAATGTTCTTCTGGATGTTTCGTGAAGGTTTAGAGTCTTCGGCGCCGGTAGAGCTACTAGGATACTTGGGGGCATACCTGGCTACGGGTCTCGGATGCATAGCCTTTCATCAGTTTGTTCTCCTGCCGCTGTTATACGTCATCATCGTGAGGAAAAACCCGATACCTTATCACATCAACCTCTTGCCCGCTATTCTCACGGCCTTCGGAACATCCTCCAGGTAAGTAACTGACTGCTTTACATTGTTCACACAATTTACTGAAGTTGCTTATTTATTAACAAAGTAGAGAAGCTAACAATAAAATTTTCCAAACGTAAAGTGGAAATCTTAGCTATAGTCAAAACTTTATCACTAAGTAGCCGCTATGCGGCCAGCCTTCGTCTAGCTTTTAAATGTACTTGAAAAATACCTAAAGAGAACAACAAGCATTAAATTAAAAAACTGCACAAGAATTTTACTCTGCAGAACAGCTTTATCCCAAAAACATCTCACTTCGCGAGAAGGCAAAAATATATAAAAACTCAAAATATCTGTATTAAAAATTACGAAGTAAATCTTAAACACTTATTTCCTCGAAAAAATTCCGGAAAGGATTAAGCATGATTTAATTGGCAATAAAAATGAAGGCGTTATCCTTTGTTGTTGCGAAGCTAAGTTTCTCTAGATTGGCAACAAATCCACTAGTCTGCTGTTTCAAATGTAAACAATCAATGTCCGCCATAAAAAAAGGCTTAGTGGCACTTAAACAACTTTTGATAATTCTAAAAATATTGCATACAGATTTACTAAAGGCATAAAAACCTTAACCGGAAGATAAAAACAACATAATTCAATCATTTTTAAAGCCAAAAATGAGCGAATTTACTAACGTATAAGAGTAAAAAAAACTGAGATCATTGAGCCGGGTAACAAAGATACAAATATATTTATATACGTTTATACGTTTGGTGCGGCCGATTGTAACCAAAATACGAGGTGCACATCTACATGTTATAGCAGTCCTATACACAAAATTTCAACGTTCTGAGGCTACTCGTTTTTGAGTTATGCAGTTATGCGAGATACATACGTACCTACAAACACCACGAAAAGTTCTCTTCAGAATTCCTTTTAAAGCAGTTTTATAATTTTTTTGGAGGAAAACAGTCATTTATTCTGTCCTTACGTACAGATGTCACGCAAAACCATTGTTAAATTGCATTCGATAGCGGTCAAAATGGATATTTTCGTTGAAATATGCTGCCTGAAACTTTTCTCGTTTACAATACTTCCTTTATACTTCGTACAAGGAAATAAAAATTAAATGTGCGTATGCGTATGGGTGCTTATCTGTGTGATAGCATTTTGTGTTAAAACTATGGCTAGAGGATACAACTAGTGAAACACTCAACCAGTTCATGGTCGTAGCTAACTCTCCTAAACAAATTTTAATTTCCGTATTAGGATTACACAAGGGGGACAACAGACCTATACTGTAACTGCTTGTATCCTCACGAAGGAGAGGCTGCAAGGAGTAACACATATTGCGTAATTCTCGAGTCAGAGCACAGCAAAATATACTTTCGACTTTCAAGAATCTGGTATTGTAGTCTTGCAAAACGTGGTCCAGAAATTTTCCTATCCTCACCTCCTTGCTTTGGGCGAAGTACGTAAGAAGTTTTGAAAGTAAAAATTCTGCTAAGAAGGAAAGGGTTAAGCTAGGAAGGCAGCCAGATTGAGAAAGTGTCAAAACTCTGAAAATAAATCTGGGTTACAAATACTTTCTAGAAAGTTTTTTTTTTTAATCAATTTTACTAAATAAGTTGAAAAACAAAAATTAATTAATTTTTAACAGGCGTTTTACTTTTTTTAATAGTTAATTTAAACTCGTTTGCTTAGTTAGCTTCTTTAGATGCGTCTACAGTACATGACAGGGTTATTTTGCATTAATTAGTTTTAAAATGGGTCTGGAAATTAAAGCACTTTTTAAATTTTGAAAGTCTACCTTTGTTGTCCATTTTTGTCGAGTCTTTTTCTTAAGTAGATATCTTAAAGCGGCTAATTTTTGCGTAATTTGAAATAAATTGTATGATACACATTAATGCTTCCAAGAAAACTTTATAAATTTTTAACATTTTTAGGTGGTTGCAATTTTTAACACCTTCAATATTAGTATTATTGGGTTGTCAGTTTCCTGCTTGAACATGAAAGAAACCTGTTAATTTTAATGTAGCAATAGTTCTTTGGTTCCTCATTTTAACTTGATTATGACCCCTTCCCAAAATCCTAAGTGAGTCATTTAGAAAACTAATCCGCATTATGTCACCTTATTAATCCTGTAATTCGGTAAGCTCTTGTCTAAAATTTAAACAAAGAAGCCAACACAATAAATACCTCTTATTGAAATGCGCATTCATATCCAGTTTTATGCCAGTAGCTTGCAGCTGAGTGATCAAAGTGCCGGAGAGTAAGCACTAATCTGAACGTCGAAAGGTACATATTAGAGATGTGGACTCTGAAAATTGGAATTATGCATAATATTTGTCATTACGTACGCTCCTTTCCGATTTGACAACGTCTACTGCTCCCATTTGTGTAATTACTTTTTTTTTTATTTCGTTATGCGAACTGCGCATAACTTGCACCGAGAACGATAATTGCGAACGCATCAAACCCCTATGTAATGAAAATCAATCTAAATCCGATACAAGCGATTTTCAGAAGCCAATTAAAATGTGTTGAGAAGACCTCCTCCTTAATAACAACTGTTCCTAAAAGAAGTTGAAAAACTTTTAAGTAAAAAAATTATGGAACCTCTTCATACTGATATTGAATTTCTGCATTTTCTTCATATGAATTTCTTCATATTCTCCTTCATACTGGCAAAGTTAAAGCTGGCACTCTCAAAGTTAAATTATACAGCGTTGTTGATCATAGAAAAATTGAAGATAAATTCAGTAAAGAACATATACCCTATCATACTTACCTACACAATTCTATAAAACCGTTGGAGTCATTATTAAAGACTTAACCAATGATCTGACTGAAAACGAAGACTTGCAGCTCAAGACATTTCAGCTTTCTTTTGAGAATCAGAAAGTACTCTTAACCAGAGAACAGGAACTCCATTACGTAGCTGACATGATGTCTGCCTTACACGGATTAAAGCCCCTGCCTCCAGAAGCTATTTATTATCACTAAGCTAAATAAGTTTACAGTGGCATACAAGGCCTTCAAGAACACAAGGATATAAGTAACATAGTCATTAATAAACCCTAAAGAAACCATGTTACAAGTAGTACCTATAGCATTCAAACCATAAACCGAGTATACTTTCATAATTTGTACTGAAAATACGAAATACTTTCAAAACTGAGTCCAACAAATTTAAATAAAAACTATGGTACAAACAAACGAAATATCCATTACTGTATTATACACAATTAATTTCAGTTAGATTCACAATATCAAGAAGAACCATTTAATTTAGTAAAAATGCATAGAGATAAACTAAGACAATAATAAACTGCCAAATAAAATTTCTTCATAGGAATTCAGAATTAAGAACCAATAACTTTGATAACTGAACAATATTATCATAAAATACACTGAACCTGAGATATTACTACGATACAAATCATAAATTTGGTTTTAAAACAAACCCACTCCAGGTAATGTAAAAACTCTACATCAGGTTTGCTGGCAACGCGATAGAAATACAGTACAAGAATAGTGCCAACATAAAGATATGAAAAATTTCAAATTCAAAAACCAAATGCATTCAAAAATAATTCAAAGAAAATTATTATAAAATACTGCCTTAAATGCACATTTTACAATAGAGAACTCAAGTAAAACCAATCAAATTCACAAAAAACAGGTCAACTATTCAATTCAGAAAAGTGCAAAAAGGTATACAAAATAAGTATTCTAGATTAGGTTTGCTGGCATCGCTAAGACAAATGCAATACTAGAAAAATGCCGACATAAAATTTTACAGAATTTCAAAATCAAATACAAAATGCATTCAAGATTAAAGCAAAGAAAATTAATATAAAATAACTATCATGAATGCAAATTTTTATAATAGAATGCACAATTAATGCCTATCAAATTCACCAAATCAATTAAAAAAGAATGCATTAAAGTACGCAAAATAATTAAAATTGTCACAAAAATTTTCTCTTAAATTTAATTCACAATTGCAAAACTGAACAAAATAATCAATATATATATATGATTAAGAACGATTTCAGTACCATACAACAAATAGTATGTGCGTCACAAATAAAACCGACTATTTGTACAATATAAGAAGGCTACAAGTAACCGTTACAATTTATAAGAACATAGATGCATTCAATGCCAGATACGTCTGCTCTACGTAAAACCATTTCTAATTTTAAATCAGTAACCTAAGTAGTGGAAACAACAAAACTGAACAATAATAAGCATCAAACACAATAAGATAAACAATTACCATTATGCAGTAAAAATCTAACAGTCGCTGAAAGCCAATTACTCACTTCCAATAGAGACGATCTGAGAGAATTATTCACAGAAAAATTTATTTCCTGATAGAAAAGCATAATTTCCTTAAATTTCTTACTCTCACTAGAGTTTTCTAATATCAATTCAGCCCATTTTGGCCTGATCTAAAGGTTTATTCAAGTGAAGTTTTTTAGTAAATGAACAGTGAAAGATAAAGTATTCAGGATCTCCCAACTCCCCGCAAGAACAAAGCTCAGTCGTACGTAGTCCAAATCGAAAGAGATATGTATTAAAAGGTCCATGACCAGTAAAAAATTGAGTATAAAAATTCGATGTGCTTCTTTGACTGAGTGAAATTTTTGGGAAGAAAGAGAAGACTCGTCTTCCTGTGGAGTCATTAGTCCATCTTTCCTGCCATTTCACAAGCAGTGCATTTAACCTTTTGAAGACGGGATGGCCATTATAGTGGCCACAGAGTCCTCTCTTTGAAAACACGAGGTTGTCCACTTTAGTGGCCATGTCTTTTTCCCCCATTTTCCAGACTGAAAAGTGGGGTGAAATGTCAAATTTGACGTCCCTGGGGTTTTAACCACTTATCTCTTTCAAAGTTCTTCCTTTTGCGACATAGATGCACCCCAATGAGAATCCATTAAACTACACACAAGAATCTTTGTTGCAAATAGAAGGTGATTTCTTGAAGGGGGGAAAGCATTCCGTTCAAGGTTCCCTGTCCTTTGGTAGCTTTTACT